AAGCCATAGGAGGTTTATTTTTAAATTATGGTTCTTGGAGAACTTAATTTTACTTCGTAAAATGAAATTGGTTCAGAGAAATGGTGATACTTTGACATGGATTAAACGATGAACCTATCAGATACACTTCAATTCTTATTTATCTATATTCTTTAAATATTGATGCGAAAAATAAAACCTGTTTAATGAAAAATCTAAATTATAGATAATAAATCACTAGCTTTGTATAGACTTTTTAAAAAATATTATTATTATTAACTAGATATAGTGATAGAATTATGGGTCCAGGCATTAAAAAATCTCTCGTGAAGAAAAATTTTCTTATGTATTTCTAAAAAACTTCATAGTTTACCAATTCTATGGTGTATCGAATGATGTTTAAGACATAAAATAGAACTAGAGATGAAACCATATCTTTTGTTCGCTAATGACATATAACCTAATGTTCTTATTGCAGGAAGATTAATTTTCATTCGATTAGGACACCAGCTGTCTCCTGGGGCTCTCTGAATTTCTTTTGCGAGGTCTATCAGTGTGGTATTGAGGAAAGTCTTGAGGCCGTTAATATGTGATGCATATTAATAAAATATGAAGACGAGAGCATTAAATCGTGGAATGTGTCTTTCAAATACATGAAATATGGACGTTTTGATTCTGAAAGTGAGTTTCTACTCTCTAGATTGAAGAAAGTAACAAAACCCTGTATTATTAATGACGATTGTTATTTATCAATGCTTGTATGCATTGTGTAGAATAATTTTTAACTTTTTTTCAATTTTGCATTGCTTTATTGAACCCTCCTTTAAGCCTAAGAGACGTGCAAAGTTTTTCATAGATATGTATTTCACAGTCAGGATATAGGAAAATTTAAAAATTATTTTCACAGATGCTTATTTCAAATGAGCAAAGTCTACTAGTTCAAACAAATGGATAATAACTTTACTCCTGTATTGTAAGGTAAGGGCAGAAAATATCCACTGCACAACAAAACTTAGTCGAACTCAAATGATTTTAAAGCTCATCTACATGACATAGAACGTAGTAATTTCGAGTTTGGGGGCCAAAACCGAATAGAAATTCATTGACAACCGTAGTAATAGCATTCGTATCCACCCCACCCCCAATTTCTACGAGCCAAAAATTACACAATGATATGCTTTATATTAAGAGAACTTATAGGTATGATAATGAGGAAGTAAATACAATTCTAAGAAGAATGTATGATTTTTTTAAAACAACATTTTGTTTTTTGCTATAAAACTGTCTTTAAAACGACAGGTATCTATTAAAGTAGAAATCGTAGCTTATAGTTTGGATGTGTATCTGTTGTGGATCCCGAATATTTTTCCTGCACAAAATGTAATTTTTCATATTTTTTTTTATCTAACTCATATAAAGAATTACATCTGATGAATATTTGATAATTGCCTAAAAATGGCAAACCTGTTTTCATTAATCAATAATTTCGATAAATGTTTCGCAATATTAAAAAGAACTTTAAAACTTACACCATACGTTATGAGATTCTGCGACTTTCCCGAACAGCTGATAGTGCTGTAAGCTCAGTATTGGAAATCGTTACGGGTAATGGGGCGGATTGCCTCTTTTACTTGTCATGGAAACAAGACAATCAAATGATGCCACATACAAATGCTTAGAAATGAACAGTTCTGAGAAGTCGCGACTTTGGGATTGCTTAATTACAGGCTTTGAAACTTCCTACTTCCTTAAAAAGTTGACTGGACGTTGTCATAGATTTATGATTCTTTGTCTTCCTATTTCAAACTTTGCTGTTTCATTGTGAATGAACATTAAAATTTTAAGCTGTTTCTCAGAAGAGGATTGGATAAAAAAAGAAGCATTGTAACCTTTGAACTTTTGACTTGGTTTACAAGTGTATAAAACACAGACACAATAATGTATGGTTGTTGGAAAAGAGAGATGTCGGATCGAGCTAGTGAATTGTTTGACCGAATGCGCAACAAGTGCTTATCCCGAGGATGCGGGGGGATAAAAGATCTAGCCGTGGTCTTCAGGAAAATGGACATAGATTACTCCAAGAGACTGAGCAAAGAAGAACTTAAGGATGGCACCGACATGTACGGCTTACAGCTGAACGACAATGATGTCAACGTTTTGTTCGTCTCTTTCGACATGGATGAAAACAAAACGATAGATTTCTCTGAATTTTTGTTTCGGTTGAGACCAAAAATGTCACAAGCACGACAGGATGTTATAATGGAATCTTTTAATAAACTGGACGCGAATGGAGACGGACATTTAAATATAGATGACCTAAAAGGTAGCATTTATCTCAAGAGCAAAATTGATGTTAAAGTTAAAATTTTAAAATACCCAAAGAAAATTAGTTAAACTTTTAAACAACGGTTCTATTTGATGTACTATTAACCTGTATTTTCATATTCTCACACCTTTGTGAGAACAATGGCGTGTTCTTAAAGAATCTGCCAGTTCTGTGAAGTAATTGATTCTGGCACATTTAGACAGGTTTTTCCTGTTTAATGAATCTGATCATTTCAGCATGTGTGAAAGCCGAGAATGTATAATGTTATAACACGCATTCTGAAAACAAGTTGTGATCATTAATGATTGTATACATGAACAAATGTAAAAATCGAATCGTGCACAAACCATAAAGAAAAACAAAAGTTTGCTTAATTGAAATTCTTAAGCTTCTAATCAATGAAATTAATGGTCATGATCTTGTTTAATTCTAAACAAACACCAAATATTTTAACCGATTATAAATAAATCGAAAAACGGAAATTGAGACACTGGTGAAAATCGGTATGAGGATCAATCATTACTGAGGCAGTAAGCAACCAATCTCGCTGAAATTACATGAATAAACACATCCTTATTGTGATTGACTAAGAACAATGCATGTATACACTGTAAAAATTGTGTTTAGGAAATAAACACTTCTATTACATGTTTAGATCTAAACGTGTTTAGCATTGTGTTTAACAACTAAACACTTATATCTTAACATGTTTTATATCTAAACGCGTTTAGAAATTAAACACATTTTACTGTGAAGTGCAGAGTTATCTTTCCGGAAATGACACACATATATTTGAACGTTAATTTGAGCGGCTATCTAAACAAAGAAAACACAACAAGCTAAGGTGATGTATAAATGAGAGTTATGACAACCCAATTCAAGGGATAACCATGACGAAATAGTGAAAGGGCATCTTATTACTGCAATACATTAAAGGTTTGTTTTCTTTTTCTTTGCATTAATTAACCTCGATGAGCAACGTAAATAAAGTTGACTTGGGATATCTTGAATTCGTTCATAGATAAGCAGGAGAGGAAATAATTTTAAATGTCATTAAAAACAGATATATTTATATCAGTATAATTTCACTAAAACTTAAACATTTTTGTTTTTCTAAGTTAATAAATGTAAAATATCAGTGATTGTGTACTTTTTCTAAAATCTGGCTTTCTTTCCTACAGGTACTGTAGTCCAGATCGAACTCAAAATACACGTATCAGAGTACCTGGTGTCATCTTCAAGCGCAATTTTGTTGTTCCATAATCAACACTTTGAAACTTCATTTTGTGAAGACTACTGAGTTAATTCGACAGTGTTTACAATTATCCTCGTGCATTCGAAATGGATTACTTTCTGGCAGTTATTGATGGGATATAGATGATAATATGTGGTGCTTTGGGACTTGCTGAAAGTTAATAAAATTTGATATTTTTGCGATTGACAGCCGATTCAACTATAAATGTTTATAATAAATATATATAAATATACATTTTGTATTTTTAATTTTAAAATTCTTTAATAAAGTCTTCTGGAAATATTCAATGAAGTTTTGATATTAAATTGTCAGCCTAATATTTTTTTCTTAATAATTTTGAATATTAAAAGTTTGTTATCTATGTGTAGGTTATAAATTATGTGTCATTCTGATTCAATTGTTGAGACTAATCAAATCTATTCAATTCTATCTCCTACATTATTTGTGTAAATTAAGTACATGTACGTACATCGCACAGTGTCCATTGTATTTATAATTAAATACATATCCAAACGTTCAGTGGCTTTATTGAAAATGATTAAATATATATTTTGATATGTATTTTGAAAATTTTGACAATTATGCGCATTGAAAAAAATATATACTTTTTGTGCCTAAATTTACGAGAGTGTTTTGTTTTTCTGCAGGTACAAATTATACTTATGATGTGTTTAGAATTTAAACACTTCTGCTGTTATGTGTTTAGAATTTAAACACTTCTGCTGTTATGTGTTTAGAATTTAAACGCTTGTGTTTATGTGTTTAGATATGTTTAATTTCTAAGCACACAAGTGTTTAAATTCTAAACACTTTCAAAGACATGTTTAGAAATTTTACATGTTTAGGAATTAAACATATAAAAAAGGAGGTGACAAGAAAGTGTTTAGAAAAGTGTTTGAATTGTAAACACATTTTTTACAGTGTATTTAATCAAAACCTGGAATCCAAAGAGAGAATCGCTAAAATAGCCTCCTGAAGCCGTAAGAGAACTTTCTGTGGCACTCGATCGAATGTTTATCATTTCGTTTTCTTTTAGACAGTGCATTAACTTATTCACTTTGTACCTGTTAAAGACTCACTAAGATTTGATTTGACATATGTGAAACAACACATCATAATTCTAGAATTGCTTTTTTATCAATTTCATTTATTGACAATATCATTTGGCATTGGCATGCATACAGTAAAGTGTGATATGTCTAAAGATCCTAAGGATGATTTCTGTTGTCGAGTAATTCTTCCCCCACGATATTCTTTAGATCCCAGCCTTTTATCCTCCTTAAATGCAGACACAATTATTTTCATCATAAACCGTATCAAACAAAAAAAAATATCCTCTATGTCACAGTAAACGTAAAAATTTTTCTCTCACTTTCCTATGTACTACTGTGAAAACAGCTATTACATGTATAACTTTTGACTTTGTGTAATATTTTTCAGTTGTCTATGCTGCCAACGCCAGAAACCACCCAAAGTATCTATCCGGTGAATGGACGGAGGACGAGGTGCTACGAAGTTTCCTTGACAGCATCGACACACCCGGTAGCCCAGATGGAAAAGTAACACGTGACGAATTTATGAATTACTACGCAGGTGTCAGTGCAACGATAGACGATGATTGTTACTTTGATTTGATGATGCGATCCTGCTACGGTCTTCCACAGAGAAGCTCGCAATCAAAATGAATCAGATGTGTAAAATGTGTAATTTTAACGATCGACACTCTCAAATATTTTAAGAACATATTTTGCCTTTAATATTCAATGTACACTGTAGACTGAGATTTATACACTGAAATCAAAATTTCTCAATAATTGATGATTGATTTTCATCCATTTCGATATCGGTGAATTTTTACGAAATCAAGCCATATAAGGTTTTATGTCAAAGGTACTGCAGTTTGTAAATCTTGCGTCAATGTAACGTTTGCTTCAAAGTAGTCATCGTCTTAATTTTCAACCATATAAATTTAATACTGATGTAAACCATGTCATACTACGCAATACTAGAACAATAATTTTACTTTCGTCGCGCTTTTCATAAAAGTGCGAGAGTACTTTTAACCTTGTTATTTTCCAGTAGAGTAAAATACTTGGCATACGTATATGAGTGATTTCTTCCTTAAGTTCGTTATCAACGCTATTACCGTGATTCTGAAAACTGCAAAGTTTAAAAACTCGAGTTTCATGATCGAAAAGGAAATTACGTTAATTAAAAGAATTTTGACGAGTTCGACAGTGCTAGCCTGAATGGAATCAAAACTGCTTGAACCTTAAAACCATCGTACACAGGAATGCATTCAAATAAGGAAATGATTAAACACAGCTTTCATTTGCGTGAAAAATTAGATCGTCCAGAAAATCATCGAAACGATTTCAATTTTCACATATACTAATAAATTCGTGTAGCGCACACCTCGAAAAAAGTGACATTTTTTCTTGACAAATTAATATTTGAAGGAATTTAAACCAAATTTCTACTTTTTTTAAATCGTCAAGAATATAAATATTAGGGACCATCACAATCTTATTTATTAAACTATTTTAAGTATTAAATTACCAAAGCATGTTTCATTTTATTTTTATAAAACATTTATCTTTTTTTAATTCAATTATAACAGTTTAGTGTTTGTTAATATCTATGACTTCTTCAATGTAATTTCCTCAAAAGAATTCAAGAAATAATATGGCATAGTCGACTCTATTCTATAGAATGTATTTCAGAAAACTAGAAATTGTGATAATTATTTATACCTTTTGTAATCTGGTATAATATATCAGTATATAATTAATTAAGTTTAACATTTCCAATAAATGCACATAAAAACACATTACACTTAAACGATAAAGGTGAAGATAACGAAAGTGATCAATCTCAAAAAAAAAAACCTACAAATAATATAAATTGTGAATAGGGCATAAAACACCGATTCTGAAAATTTCAGAGGAGGGATCATGTGCTTAGGAGGAGTAAGCATCCCCTGTCGGCCGGTCACACCCGCCGTGAGCCCTGTGTATTGATCAGGTATACGGAGTAATCCGTAATCATATTAAGTATAAAAACAAAGGCTGTTTTGAAATATGTCAGTCAAAATACGATCCAATGACATGTTGTATTTGCTAACAAGATCATTATAACGAACACAGAATTTACAAAATGCTGATTTTAAACGAGGTTGTCGAAATCCCTGTAACATCAACTTATTTATCAGTAGCCTGCATCGGTGTAAAAAATGATTGTGCTCCGAGCATGTTCATGAGTATTAGATAATATGGGAGACATAAACATCATGTGCATATGATAGCGGAATATTACAACAAAAATAAAGAATGTTGACAATGGAAAAGCTGAGGACATCTCATTTGTCATATAATTTAGTTGCTAGTTGGCTCCTATCGTCTATAGTCAGTAAAACATCCAAATATGAAACAGATGTGGCAGACTCTGTGTTATCTTTTATTTCCAGTTCACTGGGATATATCGAGTCTAAATGTGAATGGAAGTAACTATTGTTAATTGATAAAACGTCATCGATATTTCAGAATGGACTCAAGGTTTGTTGATCTTTGACTTACAGAACACTCACATTTTGTGTTTCTAAAGCTTTAAAAATAAATCATTATAAGCATAATAAAATATATTCATTCTGCAAGAACGGTTTTATTGAAAAGTACTATATACTTTGTATTTTGGATTTCATGAAGCAGATATACAGATGCAGCTCACATGCACCTTTCCGTTATTGTAAACTGTATACTTTATAATTGTGATTACGCTGAGACTGACTCATTCATATTACCATATGAAATATGCAGATAACGAACAGTCATCGTGCTCAAATGCAATTGAACAATACCAATTGTGAGCAGAGCAAACACAGATCTCTGAAAACAGAGTTACGATCAGGTTCCATGGACGAGTGATCATCCCCGTCGACCGGTCACAACCGTCATGTGCCCCATGATCTGACAAATGGATAATACGTAGACAATTCAGCATTAAAATAATGGTTTAACAATTTCTATACGTCAACCTTACGATAGATTTGATTTGCAAAAATAGGTCATTGTATGGGCCATAAAATTTGCGAAATGTTGACACCCTTGTACCATCAACTTACTTGTCAGAAACCTACTCCGCTTTGTTCGTACGTAGAATGTCCTCTTGTGTATCCAATCAACTGGGAGATATAAATCCCATATGCTGGTGGTAATGTTATATTGCTTTATGAAGAAGGGAAGTGGATGATCGAAAAGTTGTAGTCATCATGTTTATCATAAAGATTAGTTGTTAGTTTGCCATTAATGTCTCGCTCTAGCAAAACATCCAAATATGAAACAGATGTGTCAGATCCTGCGGTGTTCTTTTCTTTCGAGTCCAGTGGGATATATAGAATCAATATAGGAATGATAATGCAAATTGCTTATTGATAAAACGTCGTCGATATATCTGAATGTCGAATTGAAGGACACAGCTAGAGACTTCTTTTCTTGTGAAAGTTTTTTTAATAAATGTTGCTTTACAAGATTTCCAAAAAAAAAAAACAGGTCTGCTAAAATGGGCACAATACACTCGTAATAACCCAAGGGAATTTCAACATATTGTCGGAAGACTTAGTTTCCAAAGATTACATAGATATTGTCAATGAGAAACTCAAGCATCTTTTAAATATCAACTGCGAAGTACTTTTGTAAAGAGTCAGAATGTTTTCTTAACAAAAAAAAGTTTGCAGATGATCAATAACAAGGTATTTAAATTAACCGTAAATTCTCCTCTTTTTTTATTGAAGTAGCAGTCGTGTTATAAATGTAAGCACAATTCTGACATTAAAAAAAAATTAAAAACTATTTGTTTTCATTTACATTACCCTCTGGATATCAATTTCTCTTATCTTAATAGATTTAACTACGTGTTATGGCGTAATTACAACCAAGTAAGGATACAAAAAAAGTTCGGTCCATAAGAGATTCCATTCGGTTATAAAGGTATAACCCCCATTTTAATGTAGGGTTATTATTGACAAAATGTCGGCAAATGTAGAATTTATTGTCTCAGTTATTTTGATTCAAATCTCTTTAAGAATGCAGAACTTCATCTATGTCATTCATTCTGAAAAGTACTATGGTTCTCAAAATATTCCAAATCAAGATATGGCTTTAAAAATTTGATTTTTAGTCTGCTGAATGCTGAAGGAAGCTTCACTCATGGAAGTTAATTTGGTGGTTCTTTTCAACACACTCTTTTCATTCTACAAATACAATTTAGAGCAAAGCAATCAAGGACTCTGAAAACATCAGATATAGGATCAGGTGCCATGGAGGAGTGAGCATCTCCTGTTGATGGTCTTACCCGTCGTGTGCCCTTTGTCTTGATCAGGTAAACGTAGAAAGTCGTACACAATTCAGTTTGAGAATAACGACCTATCAATTTATATCAAAGACGTTTGTTAGCATTTGACCTAGCGAGAGATTGTATCAGCGTATGAAGTCATTGCATCAAAAATTTACCTTTCAACTACAGCAGAATTTTGTTATCTTGAACACCGATAATTCGAATACCAGGGATATATCAACGTGCATAGGCAGTCCTAAACTACTTTTTGTTCTTTACTAGTATGTTTTACCCTCGTTATCTCAAATCCCTAGATACAGTCAAGGGACATAATTATTCGCCACTTCAAAATGGCCGCCGTAATTTTTACATCGCGCACCTTGATATTTAGGAGCTGTTAAACAATTAATAAATGCCCCTTACCTCAATACTTTGTTAAATTGCCTTTCATCTTTAATACTTCATTTAGTCTGCCAGGAATTGTCTTATACAGACCCTCAATGTAGAAGCTTGGTACATTTTCCCAGGCAGTCCGAATTTCCGCAATCAGCTGATCTTTTGTGTTAATGAATTCGGCACGGGTCTCCATTGTACTTTTAGTTTTAACCAAATGTTCTCGATAATATTGAGGTCAGGAGACTGGGCAGGCCATGATGTTGTATTTATGTTGTTATTGGCGATGTATTCATTTACTTAATTTGCTCTATGAACGGGAGCATTGTCGTCCATAAATACATGCTGATTATCTGGAAAATTCCTGGCTAAAACGGTCTAAATGTTGTTGTTTAATATCTCAATATATTTTCTCGCATTTTTGTTACCTTCTACATTAGTTAAAGTTCCTATTCCTTTTATACACACACAACTCCAGATCATGATACTCAGATGTCGTCGAGATATGGCGGACACACTAGCTGCGCACTGTTTTTTCCGTTTTCTTAAATAACACGTGAAAGTTTGTTTTTATCTCTGTCTGTAAACATTTCTTCCTTCCCCTTCCTCGTCGATTTTCTACCTGTCCCGTTTCGTCAAACTTTTTCACAATACTGACGTATTGTAGACCTAGGAATTCCGAATATTCTTTCCAATTTTGATGTATTTCTATTTTCTCTATACGCTTTTATAACCTTATTTCGGACGGACGTATCTAATTTTTTCCCCTTCCGAACCATGTTGTTTTTAAGCAGACGACAAAAATTTTGTGTATACGTCATCAGTTTTAGTATTGCAACACAAAGATAAAAATAGAAAGGGGAAATCTTTTGTCTAATAATAGCGCTCAGCCCTATTTTACCGAACATGCGAGAAAACGTTACGCGATTTGCGCGGAAGTGGCGAATAATTACGTCCCTTGACTGTATCTCAAAGTTTAATCTTGATCCCGTCGAGTTTAAGAAATTAGTTTGGACTGTATTTTGTTGATAACATTGTCAAATGAACTTATTTGTCAGAAGCCTTCCTCGATTTAGAAACTGAAACACAGAATATGCTATGGCATATCGAATCAACTGGGAGACATACTAAGACCACATGCTTGTGATAATGGTATATTGCTATAAATTTAAGGGAAATTGACGATAGAAAAGATGAAGTCCTCACGTTTATCATAAAGTGTAGTTGTAAGCTTGCTATCATTGTCTTTGTCTAGTAAAACATGCAAACATGAAAAAAATGTATTAGACTCTGTGGTGTCCTTCATTTCGAGTTCAGTGGGATGAAAAAGGTGAAGGATGTACAGTGATAGATTTAAAAAAAACAACAATACAAATCAGTGAACAGGGCATAAAACACGAATCCCCGAAAATTCAAGAGGTGGAGCAGCTGCCTAGGAGGAAATGGAATGGACCGGTTGGTCAAATCCGCCTTGAGCCATATGCATTGATGAGGTAAATATTCTGTAGTCAGATATAGTATTAAAACAAAGGCACAACAATTAATATGAAACACGTCAGTCAAAACACGACCCAAAGGTAGGTTATATTTTCTAACAAGGTCATTTATAATGACCGTAGAATTTAAGAAATGCTGAAAATAAATGAGGTTGTTGAAATCCCTGTAACATTATCTGTCAGTAGTATGTCTCTGTTTAAAAATTGATCGCACTCAGATCCTGCTTTTGAGTATCGAATAAGTTGGAAGACGTAAACATCACATGCAAGTGATAGCGGAATTTTACCTTTACTACAGTGCAGGGAACTAATTTTGTTACATAAACCAGCATCAGCATAAGCATTAGTAGCATCAGGATCGAGCTAGCATCAGCATCAGCATTTAAAAAAGAGCATTACCAGGATCAGCATCAGCAAGCAAAGGATAAAACCAGCATTGACCTACATAAAATCAGCATTATCCTATTAGCATCAGAAAATCAATGAGTTTTAATTCAGTAAAAAATTAAAAAAGAAAGAAAGAATATTGGTTAAAGTATTCACATTATTGATACATAGTGAGATATTATGATCAAATAATTGTAAAAGGGACTTTTATTGCTTTAAACGGCAATGCTGAAATTCATTATCTACTTCCGGTAGAATGATGCTACTTCCGGTAGCATTGACCTAATTATAAAACAGCATCAGGATAAGGATTACTAGCATTAAATCAGCAAGCAAAGGAAGCATTCAAATCAGCAAGCAAAGGAAGCATTCAAATCAGCATTGATGCTGTAACAAAATTAGTTTCCTGCACTGTACATAGATAAGGAAAGTTGAAAATGGAAAAGTTAAAGTCATCTTATTAGTCATACAATTTGTTTATCAGTTGGCCATTATCGTTTACAATATCTTTTATTTCGAGTTAACTGGATTATATCGGGTTGATATATGAATGGGTGTTACTACTGTTAAATGATGAATCTGAATGTCGAACTGAAGGCAACAGCAAGTGTTTTCTTCTTCTCATGTAGAAGTTTTGAATAATTTCATAGGAATACTAGTCTAAAACTGGTCGGCTAAAAAAGGAGCACAATTACTGCCAATCGGATTTCCAACAGTTTGCTTGAAGATCTTGTCTCTAAAGGTTACACAGATATAGTCAATGAGGAACTCCAGCATCTTTTCATGCCCCCGTATCGAAGATGCGGAGGTATATAGTTTTTGCCCTGTCCGTCTGTCTGTCTGTCTGTCTGTTTGTCTGTTTGTCCGCAAAAACTTTAACATTGCCCATAACTTTTGATTGGTTGGAGCTATGGCTTTCATATTTCACATGTGTATAAATTTTGACAAGACCTTTCTTTGGGTACCACTATATTTGACCTTTTGACCTTGACCTTGGTGCTTCAGCTTTCATATTTCACCTGTGTATTTCTTATGAGAAGGCCTTTCCTTTGGCACCATTAATTTTGAGCATTTGACCTTGAGCTTGATGTTTGACTTACTTTTGAAAAACTTTAACCTTTTCCATATCTATTCAATGGTTGCTGCTAGGGCTTTCATATTTTACAGGTATATTCCTCGAGACAAGACCTTACTTTGGGTACCAACATATTTGATTTGCATTTGAGAAAGTTTAACCTTTGCTATAAGTTGTCATACTGGGGCATCAGTGTTTCACAAACACATCTTGTTGATATTAAATTCAGTTTACTTGTGTGTATAATCAGAGTGATTATCAACAAAGTAATTAAGTCGATGATTAATCACAAGAAAGATGAAAAATTTTGTGTTTTCATTTTTATTATGCCCCCGTATCGAAGAGTCGGGGGTATATAGTTTTTGCCATGTCCATCCGTCTGTCTGCCTGTTTGCCCGCGAAAACTTTAACCTTGCCCATAACTTTTGATTGGATCCCTTATGACAAGACCTTTCCTTGGTTACCATCATAATTGACCTTGGAGTTTGACCCACCTTTTGCAAACTTTTATGAGACTTTAACCTTGGCCGTAACTTTTGAACAGTTGGTGCTTAGGCTTTCAAACTTCTCATGTGTTTTCCTTGTGACAAAACCTTCCTTTAGATACCAACAACTTTGACCTTGACCTAAAAGTTTGACCTACTTTTGAAAAAAAATTTAACTCTGGCAATAACTTTTGAACGGTTGGTGCTAGGTCTTTCATATTTAACATGTCCATTCTTGTGACAAGACCTTCCTTTGGATGTCAACCACTTTGACCCTTTGACCTTGACCTAAGAGTTCGACCTACTTTTGAAAACTTTAACCTTGGTCATAACATGTGAACGTTTGGTTCTAGGGCTTTCACATCTCACGAGCATGTGTATCACTTGTGACAAGACCGTCCCTTGGGGCCCCATTTGACCTCGACGGTTTACTTACTTTTAAAAAAACTTTAACATTCGCCATAATTTTTGAACACTTGGTGCTAGGGCTTTTAAATTTCACAGGTATATTCCTCGAGACAACAACTTTCTTTGGGTACCAACATTTTTCATCTTTTGACATGGAGTTCGACTTGCATTTGAGAAACTTTAATCTTCGCCATAAGCTGCCATACGGGGGCATCAGTGTTTCACAAACACATCTTGTTAAAGAAGCAATTGCCTATGATATTAAAAAAACCTCTTTTTTGATTTATGATGAGGAATGTTGTATGAAGTGTAGAAAACTTATACGTTTTGATGTTACTAACTACATATATTGAAAAAAATTATGATTTTAAATTTTCTGAAAGTTTTTGAGTTTTTGAGAATCCACGTTTGATTTACACCACTTCTCGAATATGCAGTAACACAATGCGTTTGAAGTTTCTCCTTCACAACAGTTAATATTTTGTGGGGAGTAAAGATAGGGACATGGTAGAGCACTTGCTTGACCCGGCAATCATCATCGTAAGGATTTTTATGACGTTTAGGAATCCAGTATAGGTAGGGTTTATCGAACTTACCTTCGCTGACTTGAATGTAAAAAGTATTAAAGACCAAAATTTGATTTTGAAGAATTTTATCTTTAGAATGTGAATGTGAACTATATTGCATCTCTTTAGCGTTATGCAACCTTTAAATATATATTATTTAAATGCATCCAGTCGATATAGAGGAAATAGAGAAAACTAATTGCAAAACAAACTATTTTGACATAAATAAAAACTAACATTTACAAAATATTTGCAGGGGAAAATATAGGAAAATCGAATGAGCAGAAAACATTAATTTTCGCATGATTCAATTAGCTATGGGAATTACTATAACAAGGGGGCATAACTCTATTAATTTTTTTCCCATGTTTTGCTGAAGTAATCAAAAGAAAATTCATGTTTTTTATGAAAGCTTAATCTAATTTAAAAAAAAAAATTATACAATTAAATAGATCATTATTTCATATAGATAATATAAATTTGAAATGGTTATTTTAAATTTAATTTCATACTGTTTGTTGTCGCCCGCGTGGCGCAGTGGTTAGAGCGTCTGCTCTAGAGTCGCGGCGTAAGGAGTTGATCCTTACGTCGCGGGTTCGCATCCCACTGCGGGACTTGGAGACCGGTCCTTCGGATGAGACCGTATAAACCGAGGTCCCGTGTCGCAGTAGGTGCCGGCACGAAAAGGATCCCTCACTGCTCAATGGTCGTAAGTGCCGAGTATAGGACAAAATTTGCAGCTCTCCACCGGCAAGTGGTGGCGTCTCCATATGAGTGAAAAATTCTCGAGAGGGAGGTCAAACAACATACAAACAAACAAACAAACATACTGTTTATTAATTTTGAAATATTAACATTTTTTAATTGATAGTGCATCCATAGTTTAAATAAAAAATAAAAATACATAAATGTCCCTTAGAATAAGGTTAAGTATGCATGGGTCATTTCATTTTGTACATAACTACTAAATATTATAAAAAAAACATATGTATAAAGATTCAGAGACTAAATTTAACCTGTGTTTGATAATCTTTACCCTTAACTTTTATTATAACGTCACTCTGAATTGGGCTTAAACATCTGTAATTTTTTCTTTAGGTATAAAAGGCTTATCTACATCTATAACTATCAATTTGCACAGTTTAATTCACTTCTTTCTCCAAGGTTGAAAAGTGCACTAAAATTTTAATCAAACTTTACTAAATTGAGTTTTGCCCTTTTCTCATAGTAATTTTCATAGAAAATTTAACCCTATGTAAAGATTTCCCCCTCTTCCGATTTTGTTAGATTTTTTTTTACATTTATTTTGTGCATTCTAGAGTTAATTTATGACAAAAGAAATTGTGTTGCAATTATTTTGACTGGATAAAGTGTACTAGTAACACAGATTACAATACCTATACATTATAAAAATGAATAATAAGTTTATTATGATAAAATAAGACAGTTATGGTGTATCATTCAAACATGTAAGGTTAAGATTTTTATCATATTTTTACACCCCTTCGGTTCTTCACAAATATCAACAGTGGACAATGACTACTTATTTGTCCTTAACTTTTACTGCCTTGGTTTATAGACCAACACTGTAATAAAAACAGAACCGAAAGGGACTGTCTATTCCGTCCTTTTTGATTTCATTTGTTTCTACACAGCGTAGGAAATGTATGCTCTTTAGTTCTTTAGTAAGATTTTTGGTTATGAGGATTAGCCAAGTCCGTTGACGACTTTGAAACAAGTTGATCGCTGCTGGGATTCTCTTTGTTGGAGGATGGAGTACCACTGGTTAAGCTTGATTCAGAAATAAGTCCCAATGTTAAAGCCATTCGCTTAAAAAAATCAAATGTTTCTTTTCGAAATACAATATAAATCCAAGGATCAATGATTGAGTTCGAGATGGAAAGACGTAAAGCATTGAGTTCAAACCATCCATTTCCGGAAATTGCTCCAATTGCATGACCGAAGATGTTTATCTAAAGAAGTACAAAAAAGAAATGATAGGCATATAAAGCAGGGATAATTTTCATTAGTCATGGTCATACGAATAATTAACATGAAAGAAATTATTTCTTTATGGTTGTGATTCTAGCATCTAAGCCAGTAATCACCATTTATTACTAATATTACATGTATTGCCGAATTCTTATCCCAGCATCACCCATACTACAATACTTACTAAAAGTGGTGATATACATGAAGTAAAGAGGATCACAATTAAGAAGAGAAAGACCATGATATATGTGTTGTTCTTCTTTGTTATGCACATATTCTTCTTCTGGCGACTGTCATAACAGACTTTTATAATAACAGTTGTGTTTAGTACAATTGTAGTAGCAAGAATCATAATGCCTGTCAGCGAGTAAAACAAGGCGAGGATCCTATTTGATGAGGCATCTTCTACAAAGTCCAGAAAACACCAAGAACCTGGGAAAAAACTGAGACTTTTAAGACCAACTATCAAATGGAGACTTGATAAAAATGCAGCGAAAATCCAAATTCCGACTATCGTTGAAACAGCTCTCCTGTTTTTTGTTAGGGAGTTATAAAAGTGGGGATACAGAATTGCAATAAAACGGTCGAGAGACATTGCACAAACAATTAGTGCCGAACCCAAAATAGTAAACATGAAAATAAATGCCATATAGTCACACAACGGCTGCGGATAGTTAAATTTGAATTCGGTGCCATAACGAACCATAGCTATAGGGTAGGAAAGCAATACGCCACCCCCATCTGTGATGGCAAGTCCACAAACGAAGCGATAGAAGGATCGCCATTTGTGATTTTTAGAAGAACAACAGATAATAATCAAGGCCAATACATTTCCCGTTACTCCAAAAACTAGTAAAAGTGCTGCCGGAGCCGCGGATGGCCATTCCGGTCCCGGTGTAGATATTGTAAGATTTTTGTCCATCATAGCTGATTTCAGTTCGATCGCTTTATCTTTGGCTTGTTGTTTCCTAATCCGTACTGGAATGATGTTCGATGAAGTGGAAAGATATATATATATATATATATGCCGCCTGCTGTTGCACCGGGAATTTTGTGGTGAGCAAAAGTTTCCTGTCGTAACAAACGTAAGAAAGTCCTTATACTAAGGGGAATTTTCCATTACAAAAATAAACAAAAAAAGTTTCTTGTAATTTTGATGTATTCACATGAAAACAAAGTTGATTCATTATCAGCGCAGGAGAGTCCGATCTATTTGTGGTTGTGTTGGAAAGTACATAACTCTAAACATGAGAGAAATGAGACTTTTTTTTGTTTTATTAGTTCGTTAAATAATTAGTAAAAAAATATAAAACTTGCTTTAAACTAAGTCTTAAATGCTGTTATATTTTTAAAATTTTACTTTCATTTTGTTGACTTAAAGAAAAGATTTTACAATAGATCTCGCCTATTAGTGTGTACGATATGAAAGGAAATCGTTAAAGTTTACGAATACTAATATTACAGTGACAAATGTGACGAATAAAAAAAATGAAAATTTGGTAAAACTATGTCTTTTCTTGAACATGCTATACCTGCAAATGACGCATTTTTTTCACTTTGCATTTATTGTGTTGTCTACCTCCGTTCTGTGCAGCATAGTCTGCATTAATCATGGGCATCATCAAAGACAAATGACAAAGATCCAGGGTATGAGTACATGGAACGTTTACCCTTTTTGTCTGAAGATCTGAATATTATCATTTATATACGGAAGCGTATTAGTGCCACGTAATTTTTTTTAGTTGGTAATTCCAACTTTAAAGTTGGAAATTCAAAGTTTGAAGTTGGTAATTCCATTTTTATAGTTGTTTTTTTTTTCTTTAAAGACAGTCTGGAATATCTTGCGCTTTTCTTGGACCCTTACTTGCTTAATAAAAAATGCTTAATTTTGTTTGAGGTCATTTTGATGCTTTGCGTCAAATTTACTTGTTTGTCATTGAAACAATTCAACTCTTACACTATATATCAAAACACACACAGACAGACACATACACACTAGAATAATATAGATAGATCGTTCTGTGTAAATCATATACGGTACCAATTTTGATGCACCAGATGCGCATTTCGACGAATTATGTCTCTTCAGTGATGTTCAAGCTGAAACGTTGGAACTCCAAAATATTTACATAAAAAAGACTTTGAAGAGCTGAAAAAAGGGGCGCCAAAGACTGGAGCCAAATACGTCGAAGGATCAGAGCTACGCGTGAGGGAGATAATCCTTAATTTTAAAATAATTTTTTTAATTTTATCACAATATTTAAATATATCCGTATTTCAAGCTAGTACCGAAGTACTTGGCTACTGGGCTGTAGAGACCTTCGGGGACTAACCCTCTACCAGCAGAGGCAACGACCCAGGGGTCATAATGTAAAGCATATACGTGTACCAATTTTGATGCACCAGATATGCATTTCGACAAAATATGTCTCTTCAGTGATGCTCAAGCCGAAACGTTGGAACTCCAAAATATTTAAATAAACAAGACTTTGAAGAGCTGAAAAAATGTGCCAAAGACTGGAGCCAAATACGTCGAAGGATCAGAGCTATGCTCGAGGGAGATAATCCTTAATTTTAAAATAATTTTTTAAATTTTATCACAGTTTTTTAATATATCCGTATTTCAAGCTAGTACCGAAGTACTTGGCTACTGGGCTTCGGGGACTAACAGTCCACCAGCAGAGGCCTCGACCCAGGGGTCATAATGTAAAACATATACGGTAACAATTTTTATGCACCAGATGCGCATTTCGACAAATTATGTCTCTTCAGTGATGCTCAAGCCGAAACGTTGGGTTCCAAAATATTTAAATAAACAAGACTTTGAAGCTCTCTCTCATATTAAATCATATCATGTTACCCCCCCCCCCCTCTTCCGCTGGATCCTTTATTTAAGTAGTCATATCCTGTAAATATGACTTTCATTTTATGATTAATAATGGGTTTTTTTGTAGTTTGTTCTTATGATCCTGTCTGACGTCTTTCTAATTATTCATCATATTCCGCTTCTTTGTTTATTATCAAATTAATCTCAATTATATATCTATTGTGGATAATGAATTATTGACGTCAACTTAATAAGCTGAGACAGATAAACTTCTTTTCTTTTAACAAATGAAGTTTATTATAAACTTAAGTTGTTAGTTTGCCATCGGTGCCATTTTCTAGCATAAAATCAAAATATGAAATACATGAAGCGCATTGAAGTGGTAATTTTTTTCGTCTGAATGGAGAGTTTGGATCTTCCCCATCGAACGTCAATTTTTACATAATGTCATTTCTTTTGAAACGAGAAAGAAATATCCGTCATAATGCTTTAGATACCCCACTCTCTTCGTGTAGCAACATGAGTTACACTAGTACTAAAATGTAGATTTTATGAAGTTAGGAAAGAGAGTTAGAGACTTCCCGTTTCTGTAAAACACGTATTTCAACGGATATGTGTACATTATTATGAACAAGAAAACATTGATGTAACCATCAATTGTCGCCCGGGAAATAAATAAAGTAAACAATGGAAATGAGTCTTGATCATCAAACCCTTCGATATGTGTGAAAAAGGCATGCGTCTAAATGATGGAGACGTTTGAAAACTTATAGTCGGAGGAAAATCGAATAAAAACGATTCCCTTTTAAACTTTATCAATTCCTCAAGTAAATGTTGGCTGCATAAAATATAAATTGAAACCAGACACATGCATCACCTATTTTCAAAAATGTCTTTCACTTTAAGAATATAAAATACGATCTGTGTAAGGTACGTTTTTCCGTTTTTATGCGATAAGTAAAATTCGATGTTCTAAAAAAGGGGACCTGTCGTTTTTTCGATAGTAAATGATAAGCAACTTTATATATTAAATATGAAAAACATATATATTTTTACAGATTCACTTTATGGAAGTAAATATATTGTGTATCCCGTAATTTATAAAGGGAAAGAACATTCTGATTAACAATCTTTTTAATGTTTAGAAAACCTTTAATTCTGAATAACTTCTCCCACCTCAATCCCCATATACCAACACTTAAACTTATATGTATAGAGCAGCCCGGTCCTCCGGGCTGCAATAAACGATAAAGATCCCTCATAATTATGAATTTATCGTTTAATGGAGTTACCACAACACATGTTTCGGTCGAACACGTGTTTACTCGGAGTTTATGTAGACAGGCAATTTGATTGGCTATTGTATTAAAGTACCTGTTTCACATGCATTCGAATGAACCATTTTATCGCTTTTTTCTTTCTAAAGAAATGGGCGTGTCATTTTATAACAATCAACGTTCAAAAGAAAGCCCAAAACGTTCCATTCAAACTGAAAATTTTACCACTTCAATGTGCTATATTGTAGATGTGTCAGAATCTGTGGTGTCTTTTATTTCGAGTTCAGTGAAATGTATCGAATCAATATGTGTGAATGAAACTGAATACTGCTAAATAATAAAACGTCGTCGACATACCTAAATTTCGAATTGAAATGGAAGGCAACATCAAGAGACTTCTTTTCATACAGAAGTTTTTGAATAAATCCGATTTTTTAAAAATAATGTTGACTGACGTTTTTGATATAAATCGTTAGGCGATAATTTCGCTACTGAGTAAAAGTATTACTACTAAACAATCAAGAAGAAAGGCTCTCGGTGGGTGTGAACAGTCGACATGGAATCCTTATTCCTCCGCGGCATTTGATCCCACCTCTGATGTTTTCAGGGGTCCGTTTTTGCTCTGCTCTCAGTTTGTATTGTTTTATTTGACTTTTGTACATGGTTACTGTTCGTTGTCTTTATATTTCATTATTTGATTGTTTCCTTGAATATTGTTAGGTGGTGAACTGTGTACATTTCGTTCCTTGCTTATGTTTAATTCTAAGTGAAAATTATCAATGATTCTTCCTTAATGACCAATTTGTGTCCCAAAGCTACGCTCATTTTGACTTTTGATCAACACTTCGATGTCTATCTGAGATTTTACTGTAAATCTCCTGATTTTAATAAAGATAAATTCTAAATCACCTCTTCATGAAATATATAGTACAGTGATAAAATACTCACTTAAGAATTTTTTGTCGAACATAGCAAGTAAAATTTTCTATTTAAATTGCCATTTTTTACTAATGAATAAATAATAATCAGTCAGTTAATGCAGAATTTCAATCTAACATTGTTTTTGTGACGTATAGAATTATGGTATGCTAACGTAAGTATAACTTCTGCTTAGAAAGAATATGAAAACAAATCAATCAAAAAAGGAGCAGAAGTGGTGAAAACAGATTTATGGAAGACCCGGTCGCCAAAGACTACATAGATATTGTAAATGAGGAAATCCGACATCTTTTATTATCAACTTTAGAGAACTTGTGTGTAGAATCAAAAAGATTTTGTAAATGACCAATCACAAGATATGAAAATTACCGAGTTCCATTTTTATTGAAGAAGCAATTGTTAATATTGTCAAAAAGTTGCATCTTATTAATTGTGAGGAATGATTGTATAAAGCGTTGAAAATTCATACATTTTGATGTTACTGATTTATTTAAGAAGTTGTATTTTCAAACTTTCTAAAAGTTATTTGGAGTTTTGGAGAATCCACATTTGAATTACACCACTTCTTAAATATGTTGTAGCACGCTAGGACTAAAGTTTCTCCTTCAAAACAGTTATTATTTTTAGAGGAATAAAGATACTTGTTTGGTTGAGCACTTAATGGGCCTTGTAAGAAAATGTCAGGATAACGAATGGTAATCATGCACAAAAGTCTAACTAAACGACTGAAATAGAAAGCAGAGTAAACAAGGATCGCCCCCTAAAAATATCAAAGGGGTAATCAGGTGCCACAAAGGAATAAACACCCCTTCTCGAATGATCACAGCTGTCCTTGCATGTAACATAAATGTATCTATGTACGATAAAACAAGTACACTTTCGTTGACTGCAAAAGTTAAAAATATTTAAAACTGAAA